GCACTTCCAGATCCTTCTCTTTACAGGTCCATAGTTGGTGCTCTACAGTATCTCACATTCACCAGACCTGACATCACTTATGCCGTTCAGCAGCTCTGCCTCCACCTTCATGCGCCCCACGACTCTCACCTCACGGCCATGAAGAGAGTTCTCCGTTATCTTAGCGGCACTGCCACTCACGGTATCTACCTGACTCGCTCCTCGACAGACTATCTCCAGGCTTATTCTGATGCTGATTGGGCTGGCTGTCCCGACACCAGACGCTCCACTTCCGGGTACTGTATTTTTCTGGGTGACAACCTGATTTCCTGGTCTTCAAAACGCCAGGCCACCACTTCCCGTTCCAGTGCAGAGGCAGAATACCGGGCTGTGGCAAATGCAGTTGCTGAGACTTCTTGGGTACGAAATCTTCTTCTTGAGCTCGAGCAACCACTACGACGCGCCACCCTTGTCTTCTGCGACAACGTCAGCGCCGTCTATCTCTCATCGAACCCAGTTCAGCACCAGCGCACTAAGCACGTTGAAGTCGACATACACTTTGTGCGAGACAAAGTAGCACTCGGCCATATCCGAGTCCTTCACGTGCCCTCCTCTTCACAGTATGCTGACATCTTCAACAAAGGTCTACCTTCTCTACTCTTCCTCGAGTTTAAGTCCAGTATGGGTATCAGACCCCCTCCTCATCCGACGTAGCCGGGAGCATGTTAAATATATTCTATATTTAATGTAAATATATTTTTTCCTATTATTGTCTCCTACCTTGTATAGGATTAGGAATATATTGTTTCCTATTATTGACTCCTACCTTGTATAGGATTAGGAACTCTTATGTATATATAGACATGTACTCCCACATATTTGATCAATGAAATTAACCTTTCTACATATGTGTATTTTGATAAAATATTTTGTATTAACAAATGCTTTTAAATGCTTTTGCATTAAGAAAATAAAAAAAGAATCAAAATAGTCAAGTATCGTTTTGTAAATTTTTCTTCAAGAGGTCAACTAAAATAGAAGTGATATGTTTTTAGCCCCAAATAGTACTATTGAAGTGGTATCTTACATTTCATTGTTATTGGTATTATAGGTTTGCACTTCCGCACTATTAGCATTTTTATTTTGGAGAAAATAACATGAAGATTCTATTTTGGTTTTTTCCTATATTTTACTCATATACTCCTTGTTAATCTTTTTTCCTTTTCCTTTAGAATCATCATAGCACTAATTATTTTGTGTATTAATATCTATTAATTTAATACGGGGAAAAGAATTATTGTATTTTAATTTTTTTTAAACTAATAGTTTTAATCATAGAATCATATATTTGCTAATACAAAATTTGTTTTTTTAAAATGCGGGAGAGAAGAACAATTTTTGTAATCAATGTGGTAGGAAGTCAATTTTTTCGCTAATATAAATTAATGTAGGGGAGGAGAATAATATTTTTTTAAACGTACAATCATAAGATAGGTAATTTTAGATTTTATTAAACCAACGTGGGG